AATGGAATTTAATATGCTCAGATAAATACAAATGGGTTTTCACGTGACGTTCTTTGCAAATAAATTTAAAAAGGGTTTTGTGGTTGACATTATCAAAGTTAGTTTAAAACTACCAGCGTTAATGCCATAACGATTTTTTAATGACCCCAGATCTGAAACATTTTTTAAAAGTGACATAATTACGTTTAGTATTAGTTGGAATTGTCGGACACATTTTTTTGCACGATTGTAGAATTCCAGATAGAAGCGGAGTTCTGTATAGTCGCTTAATACTTGATACATTCAATATGTATATTAGTTATTGAGAATGTGCCTCAGCCAACAAATGCGGGTGATTGAAGACACTAAAATGAAATTAGAGTAGATTATTTTTTATGGTTATTGTTTCCAAAAAAACCAATGTACAGACTACTCTTTTACGGGTATATTACGCATCTCATCGTTTTATATTCTAATAAATATTAAATGTGGCATTTATCACTTCCCCACAGGAATGGTAAAGCGCCCCGATAATATTTTATAGTATTTATGGTGCTTATGGTGCCATCCGTGAAACAACAATTATTACTTATTTACTACAAGAAACCCGTTATGGCAACGGTATCCCAAATTTTATATTTACCATTCGTCAATCATATGTTCTAACTATTACTAACATCACATTTTTCTACTTAATTAACGCTAAATAAGTGCACTTAAAGATGACTCTGCATTGCTAAACATTGGTCGTCTTATTGTCGAATTGCCATTTTACAGTTCATGTTGATTATAAATTGTTGACAAATCACAGCCCCATCTGATTCATTACTGAAATACCCATTACTGCCCTGCGTATCAATAAATTTTAAGTCGGACACCTCTAGGATAAATTATACCTTTCACAAGGTGTAGCTTTGTGAATAACACAAAGAGTACAACAATCGTACGACTAAATTGGACCATTTTTAAATGTCATCACGTTGTAATAATAAACTAAGCGGGAATCGACAGAATAAATTGTTCACATTATTCTGTCGTCCATTTTAAAAGATTTTCTGTTATCACATGATTTCGTAATTTCTTCTAAATTGATTCGTATTTTTTGGAATTATGTTCGTTTGATTGAGTAATTTCTTGTTTTTTGTATAATTTTGTGGAATATCTAATTTTCAAGGAAATACGTCTCTCATAAGAAATATTTTTATAGTGAAAATATTTACGATTACCCACTTGTAGCGTTTTCAGCTGAGGAAAACAGAAAATAAAAAAAACCTTCATAGGCACCTCGTCAAGCGAAGTACGTGACCAAATTTACTATGAGTAATATTTTCTCGGTTTGCAGAAAAACGGCCGTGTAAGATATTAGAAAATTTCCTGCTGTAATACTTGCGCTTCTGGAACTTCCAGCTCACGATTCGTGGATCTATAGCTATAATTGCTGTGTTAAAATATTGCTCAAGTCACACCTGATGTCACTGCACTTTTAGCAGTAAACAAACAAGATTTATTTATGATGGCAGCAACTGAACTTATATTATGATATCCGCCTCATTCTGAAAGTTGTACGTCGTTCTAATAAGTCCTTATCAGCCAATAAAAATTATTAAATTTAAGGGCTTTAGAGATAAAATAAATCTTATCTTACACGTCACCATCTGTTTCGTTTTAAAGCAATAATGTACCTTGACAATGAAAAACGTATCAATAAATTAATGTTCTGATAATACCCGCCTTTCGCTCTTAGATAGAGTAGAATTTGAATTTTTATGAGTCATGATCAATATCCAATGTTGTCACAAAGTCTAAAGTATTGTAGGAATAGTAGAGAATAATAATAATCATAATAAAATAGTAATAATAATCACAGTATATTTACGTTGTGATAACCCAAACATCCCTCTAACAAAATGGAACCTACATTGTGTTTTTTTGTGCCGAATTTTAAATGAAATCCGATTAAACGTTCTGAATCAATGCAAATATTTGAATATCATAAATTTAATAAAAACAAAGAAAAATCTGAATTAAAGTATTAATTGGATGCAAATATACAAGTTATTACGGGCGTGTGGCGGCAAATTTAAATTTATGGAAGTCAACAAGAGAACAAAATTTTAACAAAAATTGTGTACCCCTCTATCTAACGAAGAAACGTGCCGCGCTAACCAGGCTGTTACGGTCGCAAAGTCATGGTTGGAAGTCACGGCTATAAATAAGCTGACAGCGTTACGTCATCTTTTGTGCAGATGGCGCGGCTAACATCTCGACAAGGAACCACACACTCCGCTTCCACTACGTGTTTCTGTATTATTTAACCCCAGTTCCACTTAAATGTTCAATTTCTATAACTTTGATATTAAACGACAACTGAACAAGTGTCAAAGTTTTAAAAAAAGCAATAAATAACATTTAAATTCGCCATTTCACTCTCGTGAAATTTTAAACAGCAAAGAATTCTTATCTGAAATTAAGATTGGAAGCATTAATCACCAAATATTGACATGCAGATAAAAAGTTATGTGAGACTAGGAACTGCAGAGCATGACAATTTACGTTCAATTTAAATCATACAACAAAGGAAATTACTGAAGCTAAAATTGCGAGATAGAAAAAATTGTATGAGGTGAAAAATTGCAAACTAACAAAATTACATGAGGTTAATATTTTGTGTCCATTCGAGTTATTGGTTAAATTTTAATTCCTCCAAAGAAACACAAAAAAACATAACAGGCAATGTGGAGGTTCAAAATGGCGTCGGACAAATGCGTCCTTCAACGTGGTCGCTGCCGGATCAAAGAATTTGTCTGATGTTAAATTGTGCCACACTTTATCAACGATTCAAACAAAGAATTTACATTATGTTAAATTATGTCACACTTTATCAACAATTCAAACAAAGAGTTTACATTTTGTTAAATGATGCCTTGATCCAAGTGATTGGTTACTTAAATCCATTAGCTTTGAGAGTTTATATCGTGGACTGTCCCCAGCTTAACCCAAACAAAACTCATGATAAATAAATAACACAAAATGTATCCGGCGTTGCGAGAAAAGCTTCTCGGTGATGTAATTTTCCACGTTGCGAGAAAATGTCTCGGTACTATAATTTTCAACGTTACGAGAAAATGTCTCGGTAATATGTAATGATATGATGATAACTGCCTAAGAGGAGAAATTTTTAATTCCCCCGTACCTCAGTTATGTTATTCCAGAGTGGGGCAACGTTAGATTGATTTTACTGCCGTAAAAATTTAGCAATCTTGTGTGAAGAATTAAGAAGTGTTATAATGTAACTTATTCATAATTTGATGAACAAAGGACGAGTCCTGACTAAGTGAATTTCAGGAAATCTCCGATCAAATACTTTTATTTGAACAAACTTATGATTGTTAAATTGTGTTAGAACCGGTTAACGATTCAAATCCTAACATGAACTGTGAATTTACAAACAATAAAACATTTACACCACATGTTCGCGTCGGTTGAAAATTCACTTATTTCTGCTTGGAAAAACCGCAAGAATTAGGTACACGTGTTGGGAAAACTGTGGCGTCGTCGTTACGATTGATTTTCGTTAACCAAAGGCTCCCGATTACAGTATTTAATTCTTTTTATTTTTTCCCTTTGGAAGTGAAAATGTATGTATATATTCAAACTGCACTATTTTTTTTTTATTGAAATGTTTACAAATTAATATAATTACGCATTCAGCTTAATGTTGCCATATTTTCCGTATCGAAATCGTGAGTGTTGTATTTCAAGATAATTATTAATTTATGGATTTCGATTCTGATACGGAACGAAGTACAAGCGAATCGCCTAACATAACTGAAGCTCGGACATCCGTTTCCGACGAGATCTTGGCCAAAAGGCTGAAAGCTTCTGGTAAAACAAACTCAATTCAAGAAAACGGAACTCTGTTGTAAAATACAGCGTTTCGTAACAACCATATTGATTGAGTTGTTTGGTGAAATGACAGCCGCTAAATTTGATTCTGAAAGTCATTTGTTTGATGTCACAATTTTTACAGAGATGACGCGGAATAAAAAAATATAATTACAATTGGAAGCACGGAATAGTTTATGCGTTAATTTTCCGAGTTTAATTTTAAAAAAAGTCATAGGTGTACATGGATTCAAATGTCAAAATATTTGTTACTTATTCGGATTATCTTAAACTCCACTGCTGTGTTATTTTAACATAAAATTTCACACTACGAAAAAATTTTAATTTGGCCAACCAAGATAAATGTGAACAAACTATTCCGTGCTCCCCATTGTACAAAATATGTACAATTTTTGCTAAATATGCATATCAAAAATACGGTATATGCAAATTGCATGTAATACGCTCTCTTTATGATCACCACAGAAAAGTTGATGTTGAGTCATAAAAAATATAATAAATTGAAAAACACCATGTGATACCGGTTTGATATATGTTGTGCTTCAGAGGTGAGGAAAGTTTTGTCTGAATAACTACAGATTTTTGCCATTCCTGCGCTTTTTAATAATTTACTCGCCGTAAAAATACATTTTTTGAATATTTCGTACGTTAAAATAAACTTTGTTTTATAACATAGTTTACATAATTTGGATATATGATAATTTTATAGTTCGTCGGTTAAAGTAATATGAATCATCTGTGTCGCAGCATACGAGTTGTTAACCTTTACGTACGTCACATTTCCATCGGAAAATATCAGAACCCGGAAGAGGAAACCGGAGACCTTTCCACGCCACCTCCTTCAATAATTACTGAGGCTTTTATTCGGCTCAGGTGCCGTTTGCCTCCTAATTCCAAAAACTGATAAATAATAAATTAACCTAAAAAAATCGCCAATCACTCGACGCTATCTCGCCATTTTCGATCGTTCGTGACCAAACCCTCATATTTCACCACCGATTCGTCCACATATAATTGATTAAAAACGGCATTGTTCGCGTGTGTTGAACAAACTCTGATGTCACATCTGCAATACATTTCCCTTTTTCGTTGTAACGTTTTCTTTTTTTTTGCAGAGAAACCTCACCGAGTATTACAATGCGGTCGATTCACACAACATGATGATAATCTTTGCTTCGATGTTGTACGAAAGGAGGATAATCTTCACGTCGAAGAAACTAACGAGACTGAGCGCTTGTGTGCAATCGGCAAACGATGTCATCTATCCGATGATATGGCAACATATCTTCATACCGGTGCTACCTATGGCACTGATTGATTATTTGTTAGCACCCATGCCTTTCCTTATTGGTGTACCTGATGAAGTGATGAAGGTGAGTGTTCGGATTTTGTAAATTGTGGAAGCCAAGACGCTTGCTCATATATTGTTTCAATGAGTAACAAATCATCGGAATTGCGAGGAAGTTTAAGCGATAAAGCATTATGCATCGAAGATAAACTGTGTTCAGTTTGTCGGTCCTTGACACGTCATGTATATCTGCTTGACAGTTTTTCAGAAGTTGCTTTATACGGCTTACTTTGGTGGTTGCGTTGAATCGATAATACGAATTCGTTCGCCTGTATTGTTTCGTTAAATTAAAATTATTTCAGTTCTAAGTTCTAGGGATGACTCGATTGCAAATTCTGTTGATATATATGTAACAGCGAAATACTCCATAATTAAATTTATGTTTGCAAGCTCCATTTTATTTTCAATTTGACATCAGGAGTGGGTTTACAAATTTGATTTAAACTTTGCAACTATATTGATTGTTTGAAAATAAATTCGGAATTAAATTATTCGAGCGGGTCTGTTTTAGTTGGGGAATATTAGATATTTAGATCCTCTAGGATTAATGTACGGTACCGTTCAGGTGTTTGGGTATTCCCATTTGGGTTGTTAAATGACCACGTCATTACTTTATCATAATGCACATGAAAGTATGACATAAAAATTGTATGTAGTAAAGATTTACGGTTGTATGAACATAAAAGACGTTATAGGCGTTGTAAAAGTTACATCATATGAAGAATAAAGTGGTTTAATGAGGCGGTTGGTGTCACTTTTCCGTGGGTAGAGAAAAGCACAAAGGGTGTTTTGAAGGCACGTCATGAGCAATTATTATATTGTGGTATTAATTTAAATAACGTGCTGTTGCTAGTGCGACAGTTGCGTGATTACTATGTTTGTTCAGACCGGCCATGATTAGTGTGTTTACAATTATTGTTAATTAATTGTAGGCGTGTTTCACTAGATTTCAAAAATGTATAATTGGATATACGTATACAAAAGATGTTTTGCGGATAATTTCTAGACAAATCAGAATAATGCCTATCGAATCACAGAAAAAAATTGGTTGCTACATAGTTACTTGTAACATTTGTGTTTTTTCAATATTAATTATTTATTAATAAAAAAAATGTTCATGGCAAAACAAGACTTTAGATTTTAATAGACACAGCACCTATGATAATTTTTGTGGATGTGCGGTTGTGTGAAAAAATAATAAACTGTTTTGTTTTGAGGTGAACCACTATTTTTTTACTTTTACTGAATGTATTTTTGTATATATTTCCGTCACACAATTTCGTCTATTAATTGGTAACAGCAGTCTGTTTTATATATTCATATTTAACTCATCAAGCAAATGTGCCTCCTCCCATTTCAAAACGCTAAAACGCTAACCGAAGTTTGATTAATCATCCTCACCAACAATTTGATGACGTCAAATCAAGAGTTTCTACATTAAAATTACTTAAATGTTATACAATAGTGTAGTCCTACACTTGTGGTGTATGAATCCGCTTTGAGTTTTCCTCTCTGGAATCCAAATTTTCGCAGAAAATTCCAGACTACAATAACCTTTTCCGAACAAAGCCAGCAAAGGAGATCCGTGGATCAGGAAATCATTCTTTCTGTGGAGTTTTAAAATTCAGTGTCAATTTTGGTGACAATTATCAGGCTGACAACCTAAGAAAGGTGAAATTACTAGTATTCCGTTACCAATATATTTTTTTTCCTTTTTTTTCATTGTGCGTCGAGTGTATGTAGTAGTTTCTTAAATAAAGCGTAGGATTGTTAAACTGACAAACATTATTTAGAAAAAAAGCTATGTATGTATTTTAGTATCTTAGCCACAGCCTGAACTTCACTTATCTTGCGGAGGAAATCTTTTTTGAAATTTTTATGATCGTTAAAGCGTGACCGTACTTTGCACGTAAGACAGTTCAATCTGTGTTCTACTTTTTTTGCATAACCCGTGTGTATAAAAAAAAATAAAGGAGCCTGTTATAATATAAATTTCAAGCGAGATTTCCTTAAGCGAAATTTTGAGATGACGTCATCAACAAACAAACAAATTGCTTTGAGGATTTTACTATCTTCATGATAATCTTAACACATAAAATTTCACAGCAGTGAGTCCAGAAGTTTCAGAGATTATCTACCTAATAAAAACTTTAACAGTCAGACCCAAAGGGGAGACCAACATTTTTGTATTCAGTAAGCTTTAAAACTTGGAGAAAATATGATTTTACGATTTTAGACATTCGTTAAAGTTTCTCAGATACAACACTTTCTTGGGTTACGCTTAAATGAAAAAAAAAGTTAGAATGTACACAAAAGTAGCGAAATATTCTTAAAAAGTAGCCAATGTTACTGCATTCTACCATGGCCACTTGTTAAAACTGGCGACTATACATATTGTCATAAAATTATCGTGTAGAGTTATATTATCCGTTCACGAACTTTATATAGTAGGATTGGCCATGAAAATCTAGTGAGTTTGTTGGTATTCGATGCAGAAGAATAAAAATCCCCTGAACTTTTTTCGTTAGGTTATGTTTCATTGAATTGAAGGTTAAAAATTATGCCAGAAATATAAACATTGTTGCCGATACTTTCAGTTTTCAGTAGCAATAACCAAGTTAACGGTATCCATTTCTTAGAAAGCATAAAACTTTACGCTATTTAAAACAGTTATTCGGCTTTTTGTAAGTGTTTATTTCATATGTAAGGAACAAACACTAAAATTTCACTTAAACATTGTTTTTATATGAATGGGGGTCTACATACGACTATTGTCGCATGCCACATTTAGCATCTCTTCTTTAATTATTATCAATCATCAGTTCGTTCTGCTCGCCCAAATTTGTTGTCAAATTCAACACTATGTTTAAAGAGCCATTCCTGTCTTTCACATTTTTTACTACAAAAAGTAAAAATTGTCTAAAACCACCACACATTTTTGGTTCAACTCTGCCAAAGCAGAAATGAGCTGATTAACCATCCAATTTTGAAAAATTGTCCCGTCCATCGTTTTATGATAGTCTCTATCGTTATTTTTTGAATTTAAAAAATTGTTACAACCATCCAAGAACCCCGTTGAACAACCCGCATGGAGAATAGTAAACCTTGATCCTTCACTTTCAATTTTGGTGGGATTGCTTTTTAGATCAGTATCGTGCACCCAGCGACGAATGGACGAACCATTTTGATAGATCCATGTTTCATCCAAATACACGAAAGTCAAATTTTCAGAAGAATTTAGAAACTGTAAATATGTTCTCAAAAAAGTAATTTTAGCTGCAAAGACATGTTTTTGTTCACATAGAATTTTGCGACCATTTACTTCCCTGTGTTTATAACCCATTGACTTAAGAATTTTGTATAATGTGGTTCGCCCCCTTTTACATTTCAACTGTTTCCTAGAATATGCCAAAAGTGTATCTACAGTGAAATATTCGTTTTTTTTCATTAAGTTGCCAAATTTGTCGTTGCAGGTCTTTCCGAAACATATAACTTGTAAATAAATCCGTTGGTTTTCGCTTGCCAGATAGTGATGTTTTTAAATTTTGGTCCCCTGTTGATAAAATTTTCGCCACAGTTGATGTTTCCACCTATGAGAAAAAAAATTAAAAAATATTTTGCAGCGTATTTTTACATTACAGAAAATATGTTCGATACCCTCCTAGTTACTTCTTCGAAAGAAAGATCAGGCCTGTCTTTTCGAAACTGCAAAAAACATCTTTCTATTGCAATTTTTTGTTGCAGTAAAACTATTTTAGGCATTTTCTTTTTAAATACTGTCGCAATGATCTGTGAATCTGTCACAATGACAAATTATATATGCTGACAAAATGAAAACATTTGTTTGCTTGATTAAAAAATTGCGTCTAATAATTCTGATCTAATAAATGAAGTAGAAAAGTGGCAATCCAGCTCAAAGCAAATGTCAATCAGACTACTAACAGACAAAAAACTAAATCATCAAATCAGTTTATCCAACTTAAAGAAAAAATATCAAAGCCTACTTTACTATATAAAGATCGTGAATATTTTGCTTAAGTTTGTTTACCAACTTTTGCATGCAGACAAAGCTACTTTGTTCAACTTTATTGTTAGAAAGACAGTAGCGAGATTCTTCAGTTATTAATAGGTAATAAGCAAATTCCATATAGAGAAAAAACTTTGTAAATTAGTTGCTTTTGAAACCGACACTCACAGTCCACAGCAGTGTTTATTTAAAATGTTGTAAAATACTTCCCCAAGGCTTTTCAAAGCGTTTGATGTTATTCGTATTTTCGTTCGACTGGGCTCAGCATTTAATTTTGATCGAACATTTATGTGTATTTTTAAATAGATTTGCATTGGTTAATGTAATGTCCAGGTAAAATTTAAATCTGGAAATATATTATGTAACTTCCGTATTAGTATAAAGTCAAATAACAAAATTTAAAACTAAAAAAAAAATTAAATTTAGATTGTCATAAGTTTGTGTTATTAGACTAAATTAGAAAGAGTTACAATGATTAGTCGTCAATCATCACAACGAGGCGGCAAAATTCCCGAATTTCAAAGCCGACTTGACATACGAGCTTCTGTAATCAACTTGTATATCCTAAACCAATCAAAATAAACACGTACTTACTTAGATGAAGGGAATGTGCTGCGTTAAGCATCACGATGAAACTAGGCAATAGTCTTGAAACACGATCTCTGAAGAGCGTAATATGTCAACATAGTGGAATTGTTGAACCGCAGCAGACGGTAAAATTATTAAGAAATTCAGGATGTGATTGACATTACATGAAATAGCTGAACGTCGGGACATTTCAGTTTAACAAGTTTATCACATTTTGCATACTGAATCGCACTACAAGTGGCTGGAACACGAAAATCGGTACACTATATTATTATGTGACGTGTACGGAAAGTGACACATTTCGCACGAGACGGTTTTTCTTTTTCAAAGTTTGTCACGAAATAATTTTTTTATTTTAGTTTTATACACTATTTTTCTTTTTACTTTAATTTAATTGGGGACATGAAAAG